GTGCACAGGAGCAAAGAATTTTCAGTAACCACCAGAAGCTTGCCCTGATGACAGCGACCAGTGCCCTACCTTGGTCTGGCACCCCCACTGACCTGCTCCACCACCACCCCGCCGCCAATGCCCGCCATGTTCTGCACACACCCCCGGTGGTCAATGCACGTCATGGCAACCGGTTGTTCGGTCTATTTGCATAATATTCTTTTATTATATAGGATATATTTTTATTGATTTCAGAGACAAAGAGTGAGGAAGAGAGAGATAGAAACATCAATGATAAGAGAGACTCATTGATTGGCTGCCTCCTGCACGCCCCACACTGGGGATCAAGCTGGCAACCTGGGTATGTGTCCTGGCAGGGAATCAAACCATGATTTCCTGGTTCATATGTCAGCGCTCAACCACTGAGCCACATTGGCTAGGTTGATGTCTTATTCTTGTTGATATATAAGAACTAAATATATAAGAACTAGAGGCCCAGTGCATGAATTTGTGAATGGGTGGGTTCCTTCAGCCTGGCTGGCGATTTGGGCAGGCTGACTGGGGGGAGGGGCTGCAGGAGGTTGGCTGGCCTTGGGAGGTTGACTGTAGGAGCACACTAACTGCCAGGGGGGCAGCTCCTGTGTTGAGCATCTGCCCCTTGGTGGTCAGTGCGTATCATAGCTACTGGTTGGTCGTCGGGTTGTAATGGTTCCTTAGGCTTTTATATATATACTAGGGGCCTGGTGCATGAAATTCATGCACTGGGGGGGGGGTCCCTCAGCCCAGCCTGCCCCCTCTCATAGACTGGGAGCCCTCAGGGGATGTCCTACTGACGGCCCCCTCCGCGGGAAGCGACTGGGCTGATCAGGGGAAGGCGCCAGTCCTATCACCCGCTGCTGCAGCCACTGACAGCCACCACAGCTGCCAAGGTGTTTTCATCAACATGGACTCCAGTCCCTTCACCATGAAAAAATGACAACTTTCTTTAGGTATTTTCAAGATGTGTCTTTCATAGGATATGACATGGTTTTTTTTTAGTTTCACCTGAGGATATGTTTCCATTGATTTTTAGAGAGTGTGGAAGAGAGAGGGAAAGACAGAGAGAAACATCAATGTGAGAGGGACACTTTGATTGGTTG